ATGAGTTCTGAGTTGTGCAGTGCAACATTCTCTATTTTTAGTTGTGAGGTTTGAGTTTTGCGACATACATGTACTTTATTGTGAGTTGTGAGTTATGAGGCATTCTTTATGGTTAATTGTGGCACACACTGAGAAAGGGTCACTCTTTCTGAGTGTCAGTTTCTTTTTTTCTTTCGTCAGGTGCCTCAATTCAAAGAGGCTAATCATTCTGCCACTTTTTCAAATTACTTAATGGAATTTTGCTCATGAGTAGTGGAGTTGTGCAAATTTTAATGCTGAGTTGTACTAAACAATGAGTTGTGTTGATCAGTTTGGACTGTTGAGTTTGCCACTTTTTTGGTTTGTGGCAAATATTTTTGACCAATTTTTAGACAGGTTATACCATTTTCCTGTTTGTAATTTGTTCCAAATGTTTATGGTCAGTATTCATTTGCCAGTTTGCCAATTTCTTATGTTGTGTTGCAGTTCAGGTCATCATTTTTAGGGCAGGTTTTGTGCACTTTCATAATGACCTGTGCTAAATAAAGAAGTGTAAAGATTAGCTTTTTCTTCACAACTTTTTATGGTGCGTATTGCATTGCCGGTTATTGTTACAGAAGTTATTGTTTTTCTTTTTCTCTGATTGAAGGTGATTCGGAAATCATAGCAGGCATGCAGAAATTTGCTGAACTGACTGATCAAGCCAAGTAAGTTGGTTTTGCATTTCAGAGTTTCGGTTTAGTACATCTGTTCGTTAGACACTGGAGTGATGTACATGTATTTGCCCTACTCAGAACGGACTTTCCCCTACTCAGTGCCGACTGAGCGTTTCCCTATTCAGTAATGTGCCACTCAGACATGACAAACAGTAAAATCTGTTCTTGAATTTTCTGCAGGATGAATGAAATATTTGCCATGGCTTTGAGTAAAGTTTGAAGCTAGGTCAATTGGAATGTATCATGTGTCAGCAGAAGCGTCCGTCCCCTTGTTGGTTGAAAAGAGCCATGTTGGTCGGGAGTGCCGATTTTGTTGGTAGCGATGCGACCGCTACGTGTAGATTTCATAGTCTTTGGTGAATCTGCAAAGTGCAACTCCTACCAAAGGAGCCTGTTTTGGTTAGAAAATTGCACATTCCCTCCTGGTTGGGGCTCATTAGGCGGTTGATGAACCTTGTCATTGATTCCCATGCCTAGAAACAGGATACCAGACTTGTTGATTGCTGAATATAATTGCTTGCATCCCTGGTTCACAATCTCAAATGATAATTGACTGATAGCATGAGTTTGGAACCAGGGAAAACAAAAGTCTTCAGAGCACCCTCTTGCAGTGTTTCACGAAGGAGTTGCATTTTTATTTTGGCTGAATAATCAGGGAGGCCCTGGAAGCAAGAGACACGCAACGGCTTTGTGACCTGATGAATGCAAACTTTGACCTCAGGCGGAGTTTGTACGGCGACGAAGTGATCGGGGAGACAAACGTGAGGATGATAGAGCTTGCCAGGCAGGTGAGAAAAAGTCTGGTGCTAGGAAGAAAAGATGAGCTCTTTAATGAGAAATGTTTCAGAACTTGCATTGTAAATTTTCTTCTTGTGGACCTCTCTTCCATCTAGGTTTTGAAGTTGAAAATCAATTGCCCATTTTCTAAAGTTGAAGGTAAACTTTTTCAAGTAAAAAATGTATCAGTCTACTAGTTGAACTTCAAATTAAAATGTCCAAACATTGAACATTGGCCGTCAATTGGATATCAAAATATTAAATATTAACCAGCAGCTGTTAAAAATGAGATGCCCCCTGATAAAAACAACTATCAGACTTTATACCAGTTAAAAATGGGTGTTTCAAAAGTTAAAAATCAACCGGTTGAAAATTGACCAGCCGTGAGATTTAAGAATCCACTCATCACAAGGTAAAAAAAGAACTTTCCACCAGTGAAAAGGAGCCACTCCAGTTTAATCGACTCTCCAGTATTTACGTCTCCCCAAGGTAAGAGTCAAGTTGACTATGAAATCAGCTCTCTAGTATTCAGCTCCCCACAAGTAAAACACCACGTGTGAAACTTGGTCTTTCAGTCAACAAAAACACTGCTCTTTTTTCTGCATTTTACAATAAAAGTAAGTTTTCCTTTGCAATTTTTCCCCTGAAGTTTGGTTCATCCTCCAAGTTTCCAGGCAGCGGGGGCGCTGTGATAGGGATATGCTCTGACCCACAAGAACTTGTAAGTAGATAATTTGTCACATACCCTGACGATATTGTTTCAAAGAAATTCATAATGGAGTCACTCAAATGTAAACCCAGGACAAAACTTTCATTTCCAATAAATATATTATGGAGTCACTCAAAAACAAACCCATGACAAAATTGTCGTATCCAAGAAATTTATTATGGCAAACTCATGACAAAACTTTCGGGGACAGAGATATTTTTGTCGGTTTTTTTGCACATAAATTTTTCGTAAAATGTATGTATTTCTTCATGCCATGGCCTCTCTGAATTGTGAAGCAGAGTTTGGAGTATTTATGTCTCTTTTGAAATATGACAGAGAAGAAAATGGTTTCATTTGTAAATGGAGATACATGTAGCATTTGTGCGACCTCTTCATAATGGAATCATGTCGTGGCTTTCCTGGGGGGGCAGGCAAAACAGTGGCTCCCTGTGCACTTTCAATGGGACATGGTCTAATATCGACTAGACAAGCTCCTCTTTTCACGTGAAGACAGTTTTTTTCACCCATGCGGCGAGGGGGAGATGACCTGTTTACTCTACCCTCTCCAGCACTGTGCACCATTTGCTACGAAATTCGTTCACATTTTTGTGAAATGTGACCTATTCCATGAAAATGAATCATAGGGCACCGTGCAGCCATTATAAAAAAATCTTGCTTCACGGAAATCAGTAGGATCCATTGACATTTTCACCCCTACAGTATCCATCAGGATGATAAAAAAGAGTGATATATAAAAGCAAAGAGTTGGCTGCGATACTCTTATTTTATTGCAGACTGAAACAAAATTACTCAGTGATAACAAAATGCCTAATGACTGTTACCACACAGCTGGTCACTGATTTTACTCCAGGTTAGTTCTGACCCAGATGTTAAACGCAATTAATGATTGGTCATCATCCCCATATGTTCACCCTTCACAGCCACGGTTGAGGGCGACATTCCAGGAGGAAGGTTTCGTCTTTTGCCAGATCATTCCCAGGCCTGAATCCCCGCCAGCCAGTCCTCGCTGCTCCCCAGTCTCTGCATCCCCGCCTCCCGAGAACCCCGCCCAGCCTCCAAATGGCACCGATGATGCCTTGGGGCCCAACAATCAAGAAGACACCCAGACCAAAGCTTCAGATGAACTGACCAATTAGAACCTCTATTATACGGACCAGTACCATGCTCTCCTAACAATGGTCATTTTAACACATAAACCATTAATGTCTAAACCCGATGCACACCTGTTGAATTTAACCAGCTCAATCGAACACCAAACTACAATTCTAGACAAGAGAGATGTACTCTGGCCATCTGTGCTACTCTGAGGGAACAATTGTCCTTGCAGCTTCTGGGTCCGAAGTTCCTGACAGTCATGGTTGGAGTGCCAGACACTTTGTCAACAAATTCTTTGAGAGTTTCTAGTGATTTTCAAATGTCTGACAACTCATTTTTTTTTCCAACTCCCTGTTGCATGGTCACAACTGTCCATTGCTGAACTGACATTAACCTAAAAATGTTAAATTAATCGAAGGATCTATGCAGTGCATTTTTTAAGTTTAAAAACTACATGTACTTTGGGATGTCATTATGAACCAAAGGTTTCATTTTATTCTCCTCGCACTGAGTGGCCTACAGACTTACAGCAGGAAGCAGGTTTCTTTGTACGTTATGCTCGGGAGATCTTCCCAGATCAAACTTCCCTCCATGGTTCACAGTGCAGGCACTTTGCACAAGCTGCAGCGCCGTATGCATCAGAAGATGAACCAAGACGGGTTCCAGCGGTGAACTCGGCGGCTAGTTGGCAGTGGTGGTGCTGCTGTTTTTGTTGGTTTGTTGACTTTTTTCGTTTTATGCCCTTCTCATTAGAAACTCTTCAAACCTATCCTTATCCAATGTATCATAGGCTACTCAGTAACATTAATGCTGTTTATGACTTCACATGGTTTTGTAATTTTGAACTGGTTGCGGACAAATGCAATCGGTTAATAACTGGCTAACTGAAAATTCGGATGAACAGCGGTTAAATACAGGATCTGTTCATTACAACGTATTTGATAAATGATTCATTCAAGTAAAAATCACTCGGAATTGTATTTCTCAAAGTCCTTCTCTTGACGCTGTTGAAATTTATGTACATTGTAATGCCCGGGCTTCAAATCTATAAACCACTATGTATTCTTAACTCGAGCAAAATTTGTGCATTTATACAAATTGGCCTAGGCAGAGATGAAATACTAATTATAACATTTAAGTGTAGGCCTACTGTCATTTTAATTTCTATAAACCTAAGAAGAGACTGGTGCTTTTTTATAACATTTGAATTAACGACAATGCCGTTTATGTATTCTCCAACATGCGGCTTTTTTGTAAATGTCATTGAGTTAGTTTTATACATGGATGGTATAATTTATGACACCTTGTTATGTTCGCAATACAAAGATATTTTTGTAATGATTTCGCATTTTAGTTTGAATAGGAAAAATGAATACGGCATAAGGCTTGATTTAATGAATCTACAAAATTAGAAATTTTGAAACCTCAAACGCCGTGTATTAAAAATTGGGTGTATTAAAAAACAAACTATGATGAGAAACACAAATATGCTTGATTTTCAACTCATTTATTTATCATATGCAATGCACATGAAATTCGTTTTCCTCAGTACAGCATTAAACAGTTCAACAAAATATTAAATACACTAATGATAGCAATTAATATGAACACACCAACTACCGCAGAAAGTACACAATTCAAAAAACAACACTTGAGTCATATTTTGCTCTCCCCCACGAAATAATTGACTAAGAGAGACCAACCAAAGCCAAACTCGGGGCCCCACTAAGGCAAGAAACAACTCAACGACACTAATTGGGCTACTGCAGTAATCAACAGAAATGAGATCAAAATTAGATAAAATGAAATAAATACATAAGTATAGTAGGTACACCACAATCACGTTGCATATATGCAGAAGAAAAATAAAGGATTCACAGTGATGGAAACTACATGTGAATAACAAGCATCCCCGTTAAAAAATAAAACACTACACCAAAAGAGAAAAACATCAAATGTAATCACTTCCGTTGATTTCGTTGCCGCACGTACGAGTGTTTATGCCCCTTGAATTGGAATTCTTGCCTTGAACCCCCCCCCCAAAAAAAACAATTCTGGTGACACAAGTAGAAGGCACACTGTGTAAAGACACAAAGTCCGAAAGACAAGTCTGTTTTTGTGAAGTATCTATTTGCCAGCGTTCCTTCATCCATTTAATACTATGCAGCACAGGTAGTGGGCGGTAACAAGAACGCACTCTTGCTCCTTATTTTGATGGAAAACTTACTTTCTATTCCTTAAGTTCGTTTCCACAAGACCGTGCATTCTAGTATAATAATATTAAAAACATTTTACACAAGCCTGGCAACAACGAAGAAGTTGAGAAGTGACTCCGGCTGGGCTTATTGTCGTGAGGGTAGGAAAATTCCAAATTCCACGGACTCGCTAGACAGGGAGGGGGAGGCTTCAATATACATTCTACATGTATCCTTGTTCACTTGCTATGCATGGACGTAGCTACTCGTTAGCAGCTTCTTTGACACTTCTTCCACGAACTTCATATTGATTGTTTCATAATAAGTAATTCCAGATTCCCGGGATCTGTTTGTCGAGGAAGGGACAAGGGTTGATCCTAGGTCTCCGGCTTTATAACTCTCCATGAACGCGGGTGGTTGGTTAATGCTTTTTTCTTTTTGTCTTCCAACTCCAAACAGGGCCACTTGGCATTGCAGCTACACGCACCGGCAATCGCTTAGCGGTTATTGAGGAGAACGCATCCCACGCGAAAGTCTTTGACAAGAACAACACGCTGGCTTTCCAGTTCCCCACAGTGCCACCGAGTGAGGTTGATAAGACCGCAGTGAACCTCCGGAGTGTAGCAGTCAAGACGGATGGGACCATTGTGGTTGGTGATGTCAAGAGAATGGTGCTGACCGAACACAGCCCCACTGATGGCAAACTCAGAAGCACCATCCCAGTCAAGATTACACCCCACTTTCTGGCTGTTGACAGCAATGATCGAGTTGTAATAAGTGACTGTAAACAACAGTTAGTCGGTGTTGTTGATGGGAATGGCGATACACTGTTCACCATCAAACCTACCATGAATGATGAGGTAGTTGAATACTGTACTGGTGTATGCGCAGATGCGCACAGGCATCTATGCTGCAATGCGTAATGGTAGAGGCACCAGTCATATCCCGGTATGACCATCGAGGTGGCTTTCTCCACTGCATCGCACAGGGTCTGTTCAACCCCCAGGGAATCACATTCACAGCAGATAGGCAACTGGAAGTTGCAGACTTGTACTCAGTGAAGACGTATGACTGTGTTTAATGTAACACAAACGAATCGATTTCCTTCCGCTTTCTTCGAGAGGAAACAGCAGTAGCATTAGTCGGAAATGTTGCGGTGTGAACAACATTGCATTTAATTTCATGACTTATTTCTGTAATAGAAATTTAGATCCACAAAGGTTTGAGTAGGCTTACTGCATAGTAGGAATGGAAAGCAAACTACATCAAAATTTCACTGAGACAGGATTCAAAAGCATGGGAGGTACATAAAGTGCTTATGATCCCAGTTGATCTAAATCCTTTCATATCTCCCCGAAAAGGTACGTGTGGAATTTACGCATGTTCCAAAAAACCTATAAAAGACACCGTAGTCAGTGATTTCGCTCTCAGTCTGTGCCTACTGTGCTTTTAGCATGTGCGTTCCGAAATAGCCGGCGTTGGGTCAGCACCTCCTTGTCGTCTTCTCCTCTTTACCGCTGGACCGTGGCCAAGGCTAACACCGCTGAGGGACGGTGGACCCTGGAGTGTCGTGGCTCCATGTGGAAGCCGAATCTCGGGGATCGACACTGACCTACCCGTCTGGACTGGGCTGTTCTGGCGCGGAGTGTGGAGGTGCTTGGCCCAACGACCGCGCTCTTTTAGCCATGGCACTGACTGGGCGGGGCCTAATTTTCTTCCTCTCTTGTGTTTGCTCCTTATACTCGGCCGAATATTATTCGGCTCTTTGCGTATTAATATGGGGTTTTTTTTGCCGGCTTGCTAATTTTCATTGTAATTAATTGTGCTTGGATGTGCTAATGTAAATAATTTGCTTTTATGCTTTTGACTGTTCAAATTCACGGTGTTCTTGCATGAGAAGTTTAAGTTGCAGCAAACCACTAGATCTACTCTGTTTTAATTTACTGCTTTACTGATTTAAGTTTATAATTAAATGTTATTCCAAATTAGTTCCTTTACTGTTCTTTGCTCGTATTTTTAGTGTCCTGGTTCCGGTCTTTTGATTTGTCTTCTACCGTGCGTTCTCCGCACGTAACAATTGTTAACTATATTTTCTCACGACATATAAAAAATTATTTTCAAAGTCCATTTAACAGCAGTAAATGTATCCCAGTATTGGTGAGTTATGCCTACCGTGAGCGCTCACAGGAGATATTGGAAGTTGTAAGCTCGTCTCATCAAAAGAATCAGACTCATTTTAATGCAAACATCTTGCAGGGGATTATCAAATTGAGGAGAGTATAAAAACGGAAAAATAATGTATGAACTCAAATTGTTCTCATTGAGATTTACATAAAATCTTGGAGTTTTTGTAGCTTAGCTTGGAGTACAGCCGCACAGTTTCCCTAGACTACATCACAATAATCAAAATGTGAGGAGATGATGAGCATTATACGGTTGAATTCGGGTGCATTGCGGAACTATGTTTTTGATCTTCTTGATAACATGGATTCCTTTCAGGGCTTTTTTTCGCACATGATCAACATGGACACCCCAAGAAAGATTTTCGTCAACGATAACTCCAAGATGTTTACATTCCTTTACTCTATTTAAGGACATCCCATTAATGTTTACATTAACATCACTGTCTGTTATGTTGCATAGTCTCGATTTGGTAGCCAATAGAATTACCCCTGTCTTCTTAATATTCAGGCTAAGTGTATTAATATTTAGCCAGTTTGTGACATTAATGAGATCTGCATTGATAACCCTAACAAGCTCATCAACGTCTTTACTGGCATAGTGAAGGGGCTGTATCATCTGCATACATACTGGCCTTTCAGTTTCAAACATGGTTGGGAAGACCATTTACATGTATGTATAAAATAAACAGGAGGGGGCCGACGATTGACCCTTGTGGTACCCCACAACGTACTAGAGCAGAACTTGAACTCTTGCCGTTGACCAACGTTATGCGGGAGCGATTATATTAACCATTTAATACTACCACTGTCAGCGCCATATAGCTTGAGTTTGCGAATTAGAATGTCAAAATCAACTATGCCAAAAGCTTTCTTCAAGTCAAACATTACCACTCGAGTTATTTCGTCATTATCAAAACTCTTGAGTCAGTCGTCAGTAACATTGATCAGAGCTGTGGTGAAAAGGTTGAAAAAGGTCAGCAAGAGCTCCATGTCCTTTTCAAGTTGTCGATGTTAATGATACTTGAATAGCATGGAGGCAAGGGAGGGAACATCTTTCCCACACAATCAATCGAGACAGCTTGGCGTTCTGAAGGTTCACGATGTTACGTTGCTTGGCAACTTCTGAAACACTATATTTAGTGTACAGATTACACAGGGCTAGCTGTGAAACGTGTTCTTGATGTGTCCCCCTTATTTCCCAGGCTTCTCCTGACAATGGGGCAACGTTGCAATGTGATCATCACAGAAAGACGGTTACTTTTCCTGGGGACGGGAGTAGTTCAAGATGTGAAAGCTAATCAATTATCTGCAAAGAAAATGAGCTCGCTGGACTACCAGCATAGATTGAAACAGTAACGACTAATCAGAACAAAATATTCGAGAGCGAAATGTCGGAAAGTATATTTGTCACAATTACAATTCTACATGCACTGTGGTGTCTGCCTGGGATTGTCCGTCTTGAATGGTGAATGAAGAAAAAATCCACCTTCAAACGACTGGGCCTTTTCTGTTTCTCAAACTATTTGTCTATGATTATTATGTTTCTCCTCTGGTGGAAACATAATAATTGTTAAAAGAATGCTTAAAAAAATAATACTCGGCTCCCTTTTTACATTGAACTTCGAGGTTCATAATGGAGACAACAATTCCAGTGTTGATTTTCTGACGCGCCCTGACTGAACAAAGTCCATACCCGGCCTTCGAATGTTATGGCTGCGGCTTGGAGTGAAATAACACTCGCACCTATTTGCATGCTGCTGCATTGACGCGTGCATTACTGCTAGCTAAAGCCAAATAACTGGTTCACAACACTGCATGGAACTGAAGTTGAAGGTCACCAACCCGTGACATTATTATTCAAATTAATACAGCGCCCTCCTATAGACTCCTTGTATACAGGCACATGCATGTACAGTACATTGCCCGACTGTGAACGCCATTTTCCATGAAGTGGATCGCTAAAATAAGTCTGTGCAGCAAACGAATTCCTCACGGCTCAGGCGTCAACTGCTCTTTCTGAACACGACAAACCTATGATAAACGTTGCAGAGTGGTGAGTGCATAACATTCATATAATTTTACAAATCAAAGTGTAGTTGAAGCTTGGCGCGAGAAAACAGGGGGCATTGGTAGACATAAAAATGTTATTTTGTTATCCATTCTCCATGGATAGAGTAGGGAAAGGGAAGGGCGTGTCAGCAATTGCCTTTGGAAGCATGGGCCTAACCTAGCCCTGTTTTAACCCGACGTAGAGCGGAGTTGATCCCCTGGGGATCCAATTTTTTTCTAATTACGTAATTTAAACAATTTTCGGCCAAATGCAAAACCTTCTGTTAATTCGTATCTCTGTAGATGCTGAACAGCCTAGTTTAGTAACCTTTAACATGGGGACTTCCCCTGAGCTGAGTAATTCTTTTCCAGACCCTGCCTCCAGCCAAGTCCCATGTAAATATTGTAGCGAAACAGGGTAGCTGCGCAGACTTGTGTTTAGTCTGGGTCATTAATAATTCAGGCACGTCTAATCATGCATTAAACATGTCGCGGCAACCAATCAGAGGCGCACATTACCTTAGGTCTGGGCGTTGGCTGCGTGGGCGGCCAGGACTTCTCAAATGGCAGCGTGCTCACCAGAGCTCTGTGGAGTTGTGTTGTGTTCTGAGTTTCGAGTGTAAATCTGACGTACGACCGCTGGTGGTTGGGGATCTACCTCAAGTATACATGTACCTGGTGCGATCGGTTAGTGTGGTGCTTGTTGTCAGTTGCCGGAGCTGCCGATTATATCAGATCTCTTTGAATATTGGGGAATCGTTAGACAGTCTCGTTTATTTAAGAAGTGGTAGATTATAGGGTTAGGGAACCCTTGTGAACCAGTTAATTGGGGAATTAGCGAAGCTTAGACTAGAAGGATTGTGTGCCGTTGTTCCATGCTTGTTGGCATAGCGACGGTTGGTTGCTGTCCTGGTCTGGGAGCTTGCTTGCTTGAGGATTACTGGGTGCTGGTTTCCGTTAGAGTCTGGTGGGGACTATAAGAATCGCATTCTTAATCAACTTAGCAGTGTTATTTCATAATAACGTGAAGTGGGTCACCTTAAACCTTTTTGCAGTTTGGGAACTGTGTTTCTTTGTAAGGCAGTAGAGATTGTTTTTGTATAAGTCTACCCTGTTGTGTTGGATAATTACAAAGATTGTATTTGCTTGTGTGGTCAAGACTTATCAGTTATAAGCCATCGGTAGATTATTTATTTAGACCTGAGGGATACCCTGATCACTGTGAGGGTTACCTGGTTATTGTGAGGGTTACCCTGATCGCTGTAAGGGTTACCCTGGTGACTGTGAGGGTTACCTGGTTATTGTGAGGGTTACCCTGATCGCTGTGAGGCTTACCCTGATCACCGTTAGGGTTATTCGAGTGTAGGTTAAGGATAACACTGATTAATCACGTTCGTGGTGCAGTTGACCACGTAGAACTACCTCCTCGTGAGGATAATTTTGTATATAGTTAATTGCTGTATTGTATATAACGGATAACTGTGCACTGACATTGAATAAACCAATCATATAATTGCCTTAGAAATCACTGGTCACCGTGAGATCTAGTCAGTCCTGTATCACTTCTATTGACATTAAAAGTAATCTTTATTGACATTGGGATCAAATACCTAATCACAGAGCGGTGGTAAACTTCCACCAAACGAACAGCCCCTAAGGCATAGTCCACCGTTCGTTAACTGATATCCCCCTTGCGTTTGGATAGCCGCTAATTCTTGCTTAAGGTTAAATAAATATATTTGTGGGGTTAGGCCAGGTCAGTTCTATCTCCGATCAGGCCAGTCTGCTGATCCGCCACAAAAAGGTGTCAGTTGTCCCGCCACAATATCTAAGCCACTTGCTGTTAATGGTTATTGACAAACCAAGTGCCTGTGCAAGCCTGGGCCTGTCTTATATCAATTGTCGGTCTCTCTGATGTGTCTCTGAGATATCTAGACAGCTGTCTGAGTAGTTTCACTGCGTTGGGGGGGGGGGGTGTCAAACTTTTGTTGTTTGTGGTNGTGCTGATAATGGTTATTGACAAACCAAGTGCCTGGGCAAGCCTGGGCCTGTCTTATATCAATGGTCGGTCTCTCTGATGTGTCTTTGAGCTGTCTAGACAGCTGTCTGAGCAGTTTCACTGCGTAGGGGGTGTCAAATTTTTGTTGATTGTGGTGGGACCCCCCTTTTGACTGGAAAAAGGGTACCGTGACCGTACTCTGACCTTTTTTGCGGTTTTTTTTATTTGTAGGCACTTGGGGACACCCTCTGATCAATTTAAATGCCAGTAGAAGGGAATGTGGATTTGGGAAGAGGGCTATAACGACGGGATCTCAATTGTATCATGTCTGAGCATTAACCCTAAAAGATAGGCCCTGTGCAGCGGAGGGAAGCATGGGCTTAACTTAGCCCTGTTTTAAAGAGGAGGATCTCTGGGCATATTGGGTAAGGTGTACGTGGACTCGAAGACACCTGAACTTACCTTAGCCTTATTTGATTTTTAACCAGGATGAAATGTAGCAACACGTTCGGTGCTTCTTTCCGGAAATTATTGATAAACACGACCACTGTGAAGTTTAATATAAATTTGTAAACTTCAAACGAGGAAGGGTGAAGGAATAGGGTTGTCTTATTTTATTTTACAAGGAAAAATTTGCAATCCCTCAAAGTGGCTAGCTGAATTTTAAGCTTTGGCTTGGAACGTGTTTCCTGAAGGCAACTTGCTATAGTGTTGGACTATTTCATGATGACGGGAGTATACAGTGTAGAGGTCTTCCTGTCACGTCTGGTAAACCCCAGCCCCACCTCAATCCCCCCCCCCCCCCCATAAAAATCATTATAGGAAAACCGGTCGGGATCGTGTTCAGTAAGCCCATGGAAATTTACCCGATTGTAATGAATATAAAACAAACGTCATGCAGTGAAAGTTTTTTTTTACCTGTAAGTTCCGTACCCAGTGTGATCAATAAAGCCATAAATCACCTTCTTGCTTAGAGGTGAATGATGTTCATTTTCATTTGATAAGGGACTTTTTTTTTTCTTTAACCAGAAAATGGCAACAGCAACAGCGGTGAGTTCAGGTCAATACATGATCAGCAGGCATCATCTCGAATGCCCCATTTGTAGTGAGAGATTCCAACGACCCAAGATACTGGACTGTCTGCATAGTTTCTGTGAGCAATGTCTGCTGACATACTGCAGCACGAAGCACCAGGGCTGCACAGAGATTCCTTGCCCCGTGTGTCGACAAGAGACACAACTTTCGGAGGCGGGGATTAAAGGCCTGAAAAACAACTTTTATCTGATCGGTCTTGTTGAGGAAATTGAACTGCAGGACAAGTTGGTGAGTTCGAGTGACACGAAGCTGTTATGTGCTGTTTGTGAATCGGTCAACGAGGTGACGTATCACTGCATGGACTGTGAACAGAATATCTGCTTACTTTGCAGCAAGCTCCATCTGCGATTTGCTGCCACAGCAAGCCACACAGTAGCTACTTTAACAGACATCCGTGGTGGTAAAATCACACCACAAAAGAAGTCCATCAAACGGCATCCGGGATGTCTGACCCACGATGGTGAACCCACACGGTTCTTCTGTTCAACGTGTAAAACGTTAATTTGCCGTGATTGCACGGTACTAGACCATCGCCAACCGGAACACGTGTATATTGATAGAAACCAAGCCGCATCAACATACAAACAGTCATTGACCGACTCGTGTTCTCTTCTCGAAGAGCCCCTGAAGCAACTCCAGGAATCTTTGGAGGTAGTTTCAAAAATGAAACAAGACCTCAATATCACAGCAGAGAAAGTCATATCAGAAGTGCAGGACAGGGCAGCTAAGATAAGAGCAGAGGTCACGGCTCAAGAAAATCGCATCATTGATGACATCACAAACATCCAAAGCGATCGTCTGCAGAAGCTGGCCGAATATGAGAAAACAATGAGTTTGGCATCGGAGAGAATACAGCATTCATTGGAGACAGCAAGAGAGGTGACAAGGACGGCAGCGGATAGTGAGTTCCTCTCACTCTT